AGTTAGACTGTTGGAACCTGGGGAATGTAATAATAAATGGAATAATGAAGTGGAATGATGATAGTGAAGGCTAATGAGAAGCTGAATACATAGGACTCTGTTTCTTCTGTTGCATTTCTATAATTTAAGTGTTTTTGGTTTTGTTTTTGTCGGTTGTGGGGCTTGAACTCTGGGCCTGGGCACTGTCGCTGTGCTCTTTAGCTCAAGGTGAGCACTCTACCACTTGAGCCACAGCACCACTTCTGGTTTTCTAGTGGTTTATTGGAGATAAGAGTCTCATGGATGTTCCTGCCTGGGCTGGCTTTGAACTATGATCCTCAGATCTCAGCCTCCTGAGTAGCTAGGATTACAGGCGTGAGCCACTGGCACCCGGCTTAAGTGTTTGCTTATTCATTCATTCCTCACTCCATCTTTCCTTCTTAATTTTTATTTTTAACTTTAATTTTTGTTGGTTGTGGGGCTAGGATTACAGGTGTGAGCCACCAGCATCCAGCTTCTCAGTACATCTTTTCTACATTGTGTTGTGCCTGCTGTATTTTGGATACTATATGAAGATAGACATTGAGAAAGACATATCTCAAAACACAGTGTGAGGAATTATGATATGCCCACTTGGGTGGAGCAAATGAACATTTTGGGGTAATAAAGCATCCTCTATTTGCATTGTGATGGTGGTGGTCACATTAGATAAAAATGTCAAGAGTGCCAGGCGCCAGTGGCTCATGCCTATATTCCTAGCTACTCAAGAGGCTGAGATCTGAGGATCACAATTCAAAGCCAGCCAGGCAGGAAAGTCAGTGAGACTCTAATCTCCAATTAACCACCAAGAAACCGGAAGTGGTGCTGTGGCTCAAGTGGTAGAGTACTAGCCTTGAGCTGAAGAACTGAGGGACAGTGCCCAGGCCCAGAGTTTAAGCTCTACAACTGACCAAAGAAAAAAATGTCAAGGGTTTATTGAAATGCATGTTTAAAATTGGTACATTTTGTTACTTATAATTCAATAAAGTTGATTTTTAAAAATGTACCTAAGGGGTGACAGAATGGCTCAAGTGCCAAAGGGTCGATTAAAAAATGAAAAGCCCCAAGTTCAAAACCCAATACTTGTCCCCAAACACTTCAGCACCTAATCTGAATACACTGAATGGGCAAAGAAATGGAGGTTGTGAATACATAAATCAATGTGTGATTGAATATCTTAGATGAGTGCCTACCTACATTATCCCAGCCTATCCAGCACTGTCACCGCTGAGGGTGCCCTTGCCCTCTTTTTCTCCTTGTTCATGAGTTTCCCTAGAGATGGGCTTTGAGTTCTAATCCAGGTTTCCATCCACTGAGCCCTCTTGACAGTGCTCCTCAGGCCCCAAAAGTCTGGTTCCCAGGACTCCCAGGGGCTTCCTTGCAAGCTGCCACACACCAGCCCAGCCAGCTCCAGCTCAGCTCAGTGGTGCCAAGGTCACCAGTGCTATGCCCAACTACTGACCTACAGTGCCAACACAGCAGTTCAAACCCTGGCTGATTCTGCCACCTCCTGGCTAAATTTAGAACTGCATCTCTAGAGCTGCCAGGAAGATGGAACCTTTGGAGACTACCAGGGGTCCTAAATAGGGACGGGGCGGGGCTTAAGTTTTATCCTATTGAATCATCACAGCCACCATTGCAAGATGGGCAGATAAAAGCTAGGAAATTTATTCAAGTTTTCCCAGTAAGCTGCAGAGCTGAGATGGTTACCTAGAGCTGTCAAACTTCCCGGTTGAAATTCTGTCCATGCCGGCACAATTTGCTCAGTGAGAAGGAGAAAATTTTCTTGCTTGCCCTCTCTCCTCAGCCCCTGCCAAGGAGGACAAAGGCCTCGCAGCCCCTTTCCAAAGTCACCTTCCAACTGGGCACTGGTGGCTCACACCTGTAATCCTAGCTACTCAGGAAGCAGAGATCTGAGGATCCCAGTTTGAAGCCAGCCCAGGCAGGAAAGTCCATGAGTCTCTTCTCTTCCACTGAAAAAGACGGAAATGGAGCTGTGCCTCAAGAGTTAGAGCAAGCACTTAGCCTGAGTGAAAAAGCTAGTGGTCAGCTCCCAGCACCTGAATTCAAACGCTTAGTTTTGGCACCCCCACACCTTCCAGAGAAGTGGCTGCTGTGGCTTCTGTATGCCAAGCCCTGTGGCAGGCATGGGGCAACAACCAGAAGGCAAAAGGCGGGAAGACCACACCCCAAGACAGTGTGATGCGGTAACTGACACCCAATCATAAACTTTGTTAGACCATGCAGGAACACCTAATAGTTAAGTTAATTGGAGTTAAGTCAAACAAGGTCTTAAATTTGTTCTTTGGACCTCACCACCCGTGCTTCTAACTCAAGAATAATAACCGAGGAGTGGCATATTATTTTTACATCTCATTTGCATATGATTAATTCCAAGTCGGAGTGAATGGAAGTCACCCTGGCCCCTTGCTTCTCAGCCCCCACCCCATGTGTCTGGCCCTAGCCTTCTCCTCCAACCCTTGCTGGGCTCCATCCCCCCCACCCCCCAAAGCTTCTGCCTACCCCTCCCCCAGCTCCCAGAAGTGCTTGTTCTCTTCCTTTTCTGTCGCCCCCACAGCCCCCACCACCTGGCCGCCCACCGGAAAAACTTTTCCACAAGTTCTTGAGAAGTGGCGTAGGATCCAAGAGAGAAAAATCAAAGTAATAAAACCTCATTTAATTCCTAACGGAGGGCAGAGCTGTGAGCTGCAATTATCTTAATGCTGAGCTATTTTTACTCTCTCTCTCTCCATCTCTGTCTCCTGCCTCTGTCGTGAGGCTTCTCCTCTCTCTACCTCCCTTTGTCTCTCCATCTCTCACATGGGTTTTCTGTCTTTCTCTTTTTGCCTTCGACCTCTCCCCTTCTTTCCTACATCCTAGCTTTCTGCCTGTCCTTCTTCCTCTTCCTGCCAGTCCCTTGTGGACAGACCTCGGTCAATCCTCATGCCTTTGGCCTCAGGGTTCAGGAGCCAGAGATGCAGTGCCTGGGCCAAGGCTGGGCAGAGATAAAGACCCCTTTCCCCTCTGCAAAGCCCCCGCCTCACTCCCTTCCCAGGTGTCCCAGCCTGGGCTCAAAAGATATGTTTTATCTGACTTGGGTCTCCTAGAGCGCAGCCTCTACAGACAAGCTTCCAGGTCAAACCAGGAGTCCTTAGCTCCGATGGGCCCTGAAATGCCACTGAGTATTATGCCCTGCCCCTGTCCCCCCATTGCCCACCTAGCTGTCCTCTGTCCCTTTCTCCCTCTCCCTTACGCCCTACCCAGGGCCACCTAGGGCCTAGTGGTTGTTTTTATTTACTTTCTGAAGGTTTTGCCAACCCAGACTTTTCAATTCCCCACCACACCCCATCTGGAAGAGGGATTCTGGGCCAAGCCAGGGGCTGCCAGAAATGCCCACACCCCTGGGCCAGCAACCTGGCATCAGGCTGTTTCCCAACAAGTACATAAGTCAACAAACACGCAGGGACTGCAGCCAGGCCTGTGGCTGGAGGATGCGAGGCTGAGCCTCCCGGATACCCCATTCCCATGAGCTCGCCCCTCCCACCACCCCTTTCCTCACCCCCCAACCCCCAGTGGGCACTGACTCTGGGGCAGAACATAGTGCCCCTGACCTCATTTCCATGAGACTCCTCTGGCCTGCTCCCTCTGCCAATGAGCCAGCATGCTACCGAGGCTGGGAATGGAAAAGTTGCTGGTGGAGTTGGAGGGTAGGGAGGGCTCCTGTTGTCCCTGAGAGTGACCAGGAAATAAAACAGCCAACACAAACAGGGCCCCATGAGGGTGCGTGTGCACACACACACACACACACACACACACACACACCACCACCACCACACCTTGGGGGTGCTACAGAGAAGCATTCAGACCCTCCCACTGAGCCCCACAGGCAGCAATTCCAACCCCTGCAAAGACCCCAGGGTCTGGGCAGACAAACAAGGCCACTCCAGCCGCCTGAGCAGCTCCTCCCTGCCCCTCCAGAGACACACAAGCACCTCTGTAAGGAGGAGGCTCACACCTCCGAATGAGCACACACACCTCTCTCCCCCAGCTCTGTTCCCAAATGCTCTGAGCTCACACACGTGACGGCACGTGTACTGCTAAGGCAGCCCCCCCCCCCCGCCCCCTGGGCTGGCACGGTCCTCTCCCCCCCATCAGGAGGGAAAAGGCTAGAGACACGTGAAAGCAGGGGCACATCCTCCTCCCTCCCGGAAATACACTCACAGTTCCCAGCCCCAAGCCCCTCGACTGCACGCACAGGCCGCGGGGGGGGGGGGTAGAGGCAGCCCCCCCAAACCCATCACCTTGACAGCCTCTGACATCCTCCTCCACACCCACACCCACCCCCGCACACACGAAGCCTTCCCACGCTCTGCCACTCACACCTACATCTTTGACACTCTGACACACTTACTCACCAAGACTCACACTCACCCCACACCGACCCCCTTCCCCCAGTCACACACACACACACTCCCAAAGTAGCGCACCCCAGGCCCCTGGCACGCACTCCGCGGACTCCCTGCCAGGATGACTGACAGGTGTCCTCCCCCGCGGGCACGCACACACACCTCGCTCACTCGCACCCGCTTTCTAGGACACCCCCATTCACAGCGTGACCGAGCTGCGCTCTGTCCTCGACCTCCCCGCCCCCCGGGAGACGCGGAGGGGCAGTGCCACGCAGTGGTCAGGCCCCCGGGGTCCCGCGGTCCCGGCTCCCTCCTGCTCCACGCCTCCCGCTGGACTCCATCAGTAATGCAGCTCGGAGCTGCGGGGAGACGGCGGTGGGGGGGCACGGGGGGGCGCACTCCCACCCCGCCCCGCCCGCTCCGGGGCTGGCTCCGGGGGACCCGGCGCTCACTCCCCGCCCTCCTCCCGGCCCCGAGAGGACGCGGTTCTCGACGCTCATTGGCCGCCCTCCCCTAGGCCCTCCCCTCTGAGCAGCCGGGCGCCAGTCCCCGGCCGAGGGGCCGGGCCGGGCCCCCGGGGCTGGCACCGGAGGGGCGAACCCCGCAAAAGGCAGAGGGAGGCAGGGCGAGGCAGGTGGGAGAAGGCCGGGAGGCGCTCCGCGGAGACCCGAGGAGAGCGGAGGGCGGGAGGACGAGGCTCGGCGCGCGCGG